CAGTATTCTGTGTCCTATATCCTGTGTCATCTGGGCTATGTCCTGTGTCCTGTAACCTGTGGCCTATGTAACCTGTGGCCTATGTCCTGTGTCTTGAGTCCTGTATCCTGTGTCTTATGTCCTGTGTTCTGGGTCCTGTAGCCTGTGTATTGTGTCTGGTAGTTTATTTCCTTTGTCCTTTTTCCTATAGCATATGTCCCGTATCTTGTGTGATGTTGCTGTGTCCTTGTCCTTTTGCCTCTGTCCTGTGTATGTGTCCTGTGTCCTATGTCTTGTATCCTGTGTTCTATATCCTGTGGCCTATAGCCTATAACCTTGTTCCATAGCCTGTGTTCTAGCCTGTGTCCTGAGTGGTTCCCTCCCCATGTGGTCTAGCCTGTGTCCTGAGTGGTTCCCTCCCACTGTGTGGTCTAGCCTGTGTCCTGTGTCGTAGTCTGTGGCCTCTGTTCTGTGGCGTTTATCTTTGTCTTGTAGTCTGTGGTCTATGTCCATTTGTCTATGTCCTGTATCCTGTATCCTGTGTTCTATGGTGTGTAGCCTGTGTCCTATGTCCTGTAGCTCCAGGCCTATGTATGCATCCTGTGTTCTGTGGCCTCTGTCCTATAGCTGGTGTCCTGTGTCCTGTGTCCCGAGCCTGTGGCCTGTAGCCTCTCTGTTCTGTGCCCTGTAGCCTGTTTCCTATGTCCTGTATCCTGTGGTTTTATCATGGATCCTGTGTTCTGTAGCGTGCAACCTATGTCCTGTAGCCTGTATTCTAGCCTGTCTCCTGGGTTCTGTATTCTTTGTCCTATATTCTGTGTTCTCTGGCCTATGCCCTGAATCCTGTAGCCTGTGGCCTCTGTCCTGGGTCCTGTAACCTGTGTTCTGTAGCCTGTGTCCAATATCCTGCACCACAGCATACAGCACACCGGCCACAGGACAAAGGCTACAGCTACAGGACATAGGCCACGGACTACAGGACACAGGCTACACAACACAAGACAGAGGCCACAGGTCACAGGCATCAGGCTACTGGACATAGGATCCAGAGCACAGGGCACAGGCCACAGGACATGGTCCACAGGCTACAAGAAAGCAGCTTCAGTACACAGGACACAGGCTACTACAAAGAGAAACCAGCTCTAGAACAAAGACTACAGGCCACAGGCTACAGGACACAGGACACAGGCTCAGGACACAGGACACAGACGACAGGACACTCGACACAGGCTCAGGACACAGGACACAGGACACAGGCTAGGGGACATAGGACACCAGCTAGAGGACAGAGGCCACAGGACACAGGTTGCATACACAGGCCTGGGGCTACAAGACACTGGGCACAGGCTATACAACATAGGACACGCGACACAGGCCCGAGGCTACAGGATGCAGAATATGGAACACACGACACAGCTACAGGACACAGAACACAGGATACAAGCCATAGGACACGGAGGATAGGACATAGCCTATAGGACAAAGGACAAAGGAAACAGACTATCAGACATAATACACAGGCTACAGGACACACAACACAGGACATAAGACACAGGCTACAGGAAACAAGAAACACGACAAGGGCCACAGGCTACAGAACACAGGACATAGCCCACATGATACAGGATACAGAACACAGGACAGAAGACACAGGCTACAAGACACAGGACATAGGCCACAGGAAACAAGTTACAGGACACAAGACACAGGCTACAGGACACAGGCTAAAGGAGAGAGGGAACAAGGCACAGGACACCGGCTAGAGGACAGAGGCAGCAGGACACAGGTCATAGGCCACAGGACACATGCAGAAAGAAACAGGCCAGAGGACACAGGACACGGATTACAGGACACAGGACACGGGGTACAGGACACATGCTATAGGACACAGGCAATGGGACACTGGCTACAGGACAAGGACACAGGCCACATGAACAGGCTAATGGACACAGGACACAGGATAGAGGACACAAGCTACAGCACACAGGCTACACTCTATAGGACAAACTATAGGTCACAGGCTACAGGAAAAAAGACAGAGGCCACAGGACACAGCACACCAGCCACAGGACATAGGACAGAGGACACAGGCTACAGGACACAGGCTGCAGAACATAGGACACAGGATACAGGACACAGGGCAGAGGCCACAGGACACAGGCCTACAACACAACACACAGGCTACAAGATACAGGCTACACAACTTAGAACACAGGAGAAAGGACTCAGGCTAAGGACACAGGACAGACTTCAGGACACAGGTCACAGGTCCCAGGACATAGGCTCCAGGGCACGGGCAGGGCCCTGGCCATGCTCCAGTGACAAACCCCTCCCTCCTCCTTGCCCTCCAGGGCCATGATCCCCTCAGGCAGGGCCCTGGCCACCCTCTAGGGCTGGGCTCCTTCTCTTCTCCATGCCCTACAGAGCCAGGCCCTGCTCCCCTCAGGTGTGGCACTAGACACCCAGCAGAGCTGCCCCACTCTCCTTGTCCTCCAGGGCCTGGGCCCCACTCCCCTAGTTGCCCACCAGGGCCTGGGCCCAGCTCCCATTGCTGTCCTTCAGGGCCAGGCCCCGCTCCCCTCACCACATTCCAGGGCTGGGCCCCGCTCCCCTCCTCACCCTGCAGGGTTGGACCCTTTGCCTCTCAGGCCCAGCCCTGGCCACCCTCCAGGGCTGGGCCGCTGCTCCTCTCATGCCCTACAGAGCTGGGCCCTGCTCCCCTCGGGCACGGCACTAGCCAGCCACCAGGCCTGGCCCAACTCCTCTCCATGTCCTCCAGGGCTGGGCCCCACTAACCTCAACACCCTCCAAGTCCAGACCCTGCTCCCCTCCTCCCCTACAGAGCCACGCCCTGCTCCCCTCAGGTCCATCCCTGGCCTCACTCCAGGGCCAGACCCTGCTCCCCTCCTCACCTCCAGGGCCAGTGTTCCCCTCCTCATACTCCAGTGCTGGCACCGAAAGCCTCCTCACACCCTTGGTCTGGGCCTGCTCCCCTCCTCCCCCTCCAGAGCCAGGCCTTTCTCCCCACAGGCCCATCCCTAGCCTCCCTCCAGGGCCAGACCCCACTTCCCTCCTCACCTTCAGGGCCAGGCCCTATTCTGCTCCTGGCCTTCCAGAGCCTGGGTCCCGCACCTCTCCTTGCCCTGCAGAACCTGGGCCCCACTCCAACCTTCACACTCCAGGGCTGGGCCCCACTTCAGGGCTTCCCTCCAGGGCCAGGCCCCACTACCCTCCTCACCTCCTGGGCAGGCCCTGCTCCGCTCCTCGCATTCCAGGGCCTGGGCCCACTCTGCTCGTCACCTTCCAGGCCTGGATCCTGCTCCCCACCTTGAAACCAGAGCCTGGGCCCAGCTCAACTCGCTGCCCTCCAGGGCTGGACCCTGTTCCCCTCCTCACCCACCAGGGCCAGACCCTACTCTCCTCCTCAATCTCCAGGGCCAGGCCCTGCTCTCCTCTTCCCCCTCCAGGAGCAGCATTGGGCACCCCACACAGTTCCCCAGCACCTACCACTTCATGGCCTGCCTTGGCTGCCTCCTGCTTCCTCAGGCACACCCAGTGAAGCCACGTCTTTGTGCTGGGGCACTGGGGTGCAGCCACCAGGAGCCACCCATCATGGGGCCCCCAGCACGGTCCTCAGCAGCCTATGATTGCCCCAGGATTCTTCCTACTTCTTCTTGGGCTCCCCTGTGGTTATCTTGAGCCCTCTGTGCAGCCCCCAGGCCCCACCACACGGTCCCCAGGCCCCACCAGCTCCTTCCCTGGGCACTCCCACTGCCACTGCATCACTAGGTCACCACGTGGACCCTAGCAGCTGCCTCCTCCTTCCTCGCCCCCCCCCAGCAGCCGAGTTTTAGGACCCCCCATTCTCCCAGAAGTCACCGAGTCTTTGGGGTTCCCGCAGTCCCTAGCAGTCATTGCCTCAGTCCTCTGTCACTCCTGCTGTCCCTGCATTATGTCTGAACTTGGAAATGAGGCTCTACAAAGGGGGTCTCAACTAACTCTCTTGTTGCCCAAGTGTGGAGGGTGGGCAAGTGGTCCTTGCTGCAGGACTGTTGAATGTGCAGAGGGGGAACGTGGGTGTGGCATGACGATAGAAATTTCCCCTGTGAGTCACCTTTAAGAGCATGGCTCTGGGCAGGAATGACTTCCAACATGTTGTTTGCCAAAGAAAACCCTGGGCAGGAAAACGGAAACCATGGGCACGAGTTAAGGTGCCAGGTGACTTCTTCCCAGACATGTGGGTCCTGAGTTCTTTGGGGCACACAAGAAGGCAGCTCAATGGGAGAGGCCACCTCGGTCTGCAATGCAGGCTCCTCAGTTCAGATCTAGGAGCTCTAAGTTGTCACAGGAGTTTCTCATCCAGGGACCTGGGAACTTGGGCTTGGAGAAGGAAACTCAGGGTGAGAAGACTTCCCAGGGCAGAGAGCCGCCTGAGCACAGAGTGCAGGCAATAATCAAAGACAGAATAAAGTGGGAGGAGGACAAAGAGTGTCATACAACGTGGGCCCTGTATCTTACAACCAGCATCCCACACCAATCGCTTTGAACTGGCTCAGAGACCTGGGGAATCTAAAAGATAAATGAGTATGTAGAAGATCAGGGGTTTTCCAAACACCAGAGAAGCAGTCTGCCTTACTCACCTTTCCCATGGAGCTGAGTCCATCCACGTCAGGCACCAACGATGCTGCGGGAAGTTCAAGTCCATTCGTTCTCTCACATAATCCCAACACGGATCATGAGGGTGAGGGAGAAAAAGCAAAAGTAGGTTTTTGTGAGAAAATGACACCCCTGCCAGCCAGAAGGGGGACTAAGGGAGGGGTCCCAATAAGCCTGCGTACAGGAAGTTTAACTAGGGAGTGATGTTCATGGATTAATCTTCTAAACAAAATCCAACACCATGTTCTTCTATCTTAGGAAAAGGTCATGACCCCTAACCATGCAAACATGTTTCCTTATGGCCATCTGAAAAATGCAACAATATCTTCCCTCTCTGCCTGCAGTTTCTCTTACTGCCTCCTCACCTGCCCTCCTCCCAGACAGGAGTCCATGACTATCCCTTCATTGCTTCACTCCTCAGGGAAGGGCCCCTCCTCGGGGGCATTTCCCAAGAGGCTACTAAGAGGCCACTTTCCTCTCTGCACTCAAGGGCTTTCCTCTGGGGCTGGCAGGACACAACACATCCAGCTGAAGCATTGGATGATCCTCCTGCCAATCCCCAGGCGACCCTTGCCCTTTCTGGCCTGCGTGTCTGAGGTCCCTGCCTCCTCCTCCTGCTGCTGCATTCCTGGGATGCTCTGTTCCTCTGAGGCACCCTGGGAGCCGCTCCTGACTTCTACATCAGCCTCACTGCTGTTGGTGCTCAGTGTGGTGGAAAGAGAGGACAGAGCATCCTGGCTGAGGACTGCACAGGCAGCGGGGCTCCTTGTCCACACGGCCCGTTGGGACCTGTCTGTCCTGCAGGACTCACTGCTGCTCACACTGGGAGTCCCATGGCAAGGAGTCTGCCCCGACTGGCCTTCTGCAAGCACCAGTGGTTGGGAGCTGAGAGCAGCACACTCACGGGCTCTGCTGTTGCAGCCTGAGTGTCCCTGGAGGCACTGGAGAATGGGACAGCTCTGAGCACCGGGGATGGCCTGAGGCATGGGCTTCCCTTTGCTGTGATCCTGCTGAAGTCCTGGGCACAAGGCACTGGCTGGGAGCCTGGGTGGCAGGGAGCCTGCTTGATGGCCCAGCTGGCATCCCAGGTCCTCAAGGGAGCTTAGAGCTTCAGGACCCTGAGCAGGTACTGCAGGCTCCACTTGGCCCTGCCCATGTATTTCTGGGATGCTGAAGCCCTGCTGTTGGGAGATCCCCCAGCGTGGCACAGGGGGCAAGGGGTCATCCCATTCATGAAGCCACAGTGGAGGGCAGAGGCCCCATGGGAATTCCCATCCTTCCTGCTCCTGTGGAAGAAACAGAAACTCGTCACTGGTTCCAGCTGCTCCATGTCCTGCATGGAGCCATGGGTGGCCCATGATGTCTGCCACTGTGGGCCTGGCCTCAGGGTCCTGGGTCAGTAAGCTGTCCACCAGGTTACACAGCTCTGGGTTTCCATAGTGGGGGATTCTGTAGTATCCAGACAGGATGGCTGCCCGCAGCTCCACAAAATCCTCTCCAACAAAAGGCAGTGAGCCTGCCACCATGGCGTACAGGATCACGCCCACACTCCAGCCATCAGCCTTGTACCCGCAGAACTCCTCACCTAAGAATTCCTCGGGCGCACAGTAGGCAAAGGTCCCGCACAGATTCTTCAGGCGCTCTCCACCAGCCAGTTTGCAGCTGAGACCAAAATCGCTCAACTTAATGTTTAGGTGGGCGTCGAGAAGCAGGTTTTCTAACTTTAAATCCCTGTGCACCACGTGCTGCGAATGGCAGTAATGCACAGCGGATAGAATTTGTTTAAATAGCTGACGAATCTCTCCATCCAGTAGGTACCCTCGTTCTACCATGTAACATCTAAGGTCCCCCCTGACTGCGTATTCCATGAAAATGTAGCCCCTCTCTGTGGTAGTGCCTGACCTGCAGTAGTTGAATGATGTGAGGGTGATGCAGCCCCTTCATTATTTCTGCTTCTGTGCACAACTGCTGGAAGCTGCAGGAGTGCTGGCCACCATTCTCCACAACCTTCACAGCCACCTGGGTCCTGCTTTCCCAATGATAGGCCAGCATCACCAGCCCAAAACCGCCCTGGCCGAGGACCCTGAGGACCTGGTACCCATCCAGGACCTCCTCCTCACTGCTGAAGGCGGTGAGGCCTTCCATGGTGGGATCCCCACCCCACCCCCCACCCTGCACTCTGACACTGGGAACACTTACTAGTCACCTAAAGTAACAACAAAAACTGGGAAACAAATAGAAATCAAATAAGCTAAATGGTAACCAAAATTGACAACTCAATATGCTAATATTTCTACTAGAGAATGCTAACTCTATGAACTATGGTATACTAATCACTAACACTATCAAAACTAAGAATTAAAAGTTATAAAATACACAGAATACTAAAAATGGTGAAGGAAAGCAACACCAACTATGGTAACTATGGTAACAATGCTAATCAATAAGTCTTATAACAGTCTTATCTAAGTCAAAGCATTAAAAAAATGAGAAAATAGTCAGAAAATGGAGGAAACACAAGAAGGACAAATGAACACAGCATCAAGTACATTTAGCCTGTGAAAGAAAAAGAAAAAATTAATAAATAAATATTTAAAGAAAATACACAAGCACACAATGTAAAAATGGGAGGGGGAGAGAAATTGAAAAAATAGCAAAAAACAAAAAAAAAACCTGAAAGATTCACTACAGTAAAGAGAACTAATAGACGACACAAAACAACACCACAAATGACAGGACAAGGGAAAACCAGTGATGTCGTCCAATCCTTCAGGCAGTCTCCACAGAGCTTCCTGGGCCAACTGACCAGAACCGAGCCCAAGCAGGGAACTGTTAAGGCAGTTGGAATGACATCACAATGGCCCCCCTGAGGGCAGAGGAGGCTCTAGACCAATCACAGCTGGGGACACACCAGGCTGGTTTTCTCAAGAAACTTTCTACTTGGTTAAAGAGAAAGGACCCCAAAAGCTTTTGGCTTAAGTTGGTGGTGGAGATCGGTATTTAGGATTTGATAAATTAGCACAGTCCTCTTCAGGCGTTTTCTATTGTTTCAATACACGTATAGAAGCACTGATCCTCCCGGAAGTCTCTATTTCCACCCCCATCCCCACCCCCTTTTTCATTTCCTCTTGGTTCCTGTCCATTAAAGACGTCCAGTAAGAGGAGTCAACTGCTCCTCTTAGCCCAGGCAGGCTCAGCTCACTGTCCCAAATGATTTCCAAGCTCTGCCATGGCTTGAACAGATTGTGGCTCCCTCACTCATGTATACATTCACTCACACACATATGTACTTGTATGTTCAAAAACAAAAATAGAGGCATAAAGGTGTCCCTTTAGAGGAATTGAGCATTTGCAAACTGAGTTCTGGTGGTGCTGCCCACCATCAGCCTGCTGCTCTGTTTGTCTTCTGAAGGTGAAACACTCAGAGCACACATGGAGAGAATAGAAACAATGTTACTGGAGATGCTGCACAAACAAGCCAGGCTTCCTGCCCCATAGAACAGCAGGTTACAGCCTCAGCCTCACTCAGCTCCTGTCTTCCTCCTGAGGGAGGATTCCTGGGGAAGGTAACGGACCTATTGTCGCTCCTCCAGGCTCCTGAGTTCTTGCAATGCAGACTGTGAAACTATTTATGATATCTTCAAAATTAAAGTGGTGTTGTTCCCACTCTTGCTCTCTCCATCCCCTTCTCTCCCCTTCCCTCCGTTTCTCCCTGCTGAAAGTATGTCTTTCAGATAGATTAATTGCATTTTTAAGCTTTTGTTAATATTTAATTATTTATTTATTTTTAAAGATTTTATTTATTTGAGAGGTAGCGTTACAGACAGTGAGAGGGAAAGACAGACAGAGAGGCCTTCCATCCACTGGTTCACCCCCCAAATGGCTGCAATGGCCAGAGCCGCATTGATCAGGAGCCAGGGGCTCCCTCCCGGTCCCCCACGCGGGTGCTTCCACTGCCCTCCGGGCCACAGCAGAGAGCCGGATCGGAAGTGGAGCAACCAGAACTCGAACTCTCGTCCACATGGGATGCCAGTACCACGAGCAGAGGCCCAGCCCAGTGTGCCTGCTCCAATATTTTATTTATTTAAAATTGAGAGGCAGAGTTAGAGACACACACACAGAGATCTTCCATCCACTGCTTCACTCCCTAGACGGCCACGGTGGCCAGAACTGGGTGGATCCAGAGCCAGGAGCCAGGCGCTTCCTCACTGCTCCTAGGCCAGATGGGGGAGGTGCAGCCAGGACTCCAGGCAGAGGCTCCGCCCACTCCACCACAGCCTGACTTCTTTCCAGGTCCTTCTGCGGTACCACGGATATCAACCGAGAAAGCCACCCAAACAGGTCAGTCCCATACAGCGGTTGGCAGGAAGGGATCCGGGCAGGCACCGCGGCACACAGCAGGTGAGGCTGCCTCTCGGACGCCCTCACCCACGTGCCTGGCCTGAGTCCCGGCTGCTCGGCTCTGAGGCAGCTTCCTGCTAATGCACCTGGGGTGCTCCCAGGCATGGTCACGCAGGAGACTCAGACGAGCCCCTGGCTCCAGCCTGGCCCAGCTCCACACACATCCGGGGAGGGCACCAGCGGGCGGAAGGTCCGTTGCTCTGCTTCTGTGCTGCGGCATCAGTGGGCAGGTGGAGCAGGGAGGTGCTATGGGGTCAGCAGAACAGGGAGCCCCCCCGCAGAGCAGTGCAGTGAGCCTGGGGAGGCCAGCAGGGAGCCCCCCAGAGCAGTGCAGGGTACAGGGAGCATGAGGGGGCTGGCAGGATGCAGGGAGCTCCCCAGAGCTATGCAGGGTGCAGGGAGCCCCCCACAGCAGTGCAGGGTGCAGGGAGCCCGAGGGGGCTGTCAGGGCGTAGGGAGCCCCCCAGAGCTATGCAGGGTGCAGGGAGCACAAGGGGGGCTAGAAGGGCACAGGGAGCCCCCCAGAGCAGTGCAGGTCACAGGAAGCCCAAGTGGGGCTGGCAGGATGCAGGGAGCCCCCTAGAGCAGTGGAGGGCCCAGCACCGCAGAGGGTTCAAGGGCAGCAGAGCCCTTCCTCAAGGCTGCCTGTCCCAAGAATGTAACTCATCACCCAGAATCTACTATCTATTTCAGGCTACTTTAGATCAAACATAGCTACTTCCACTGTTCAAATACATGAGATGGGACTACTCTTTTATCAGAGCTCAGAGTGTCCTATTATTAATACTCAGCTGATTTTCAACCACTCTCTGACAGGCTGAGACTAAGGAACACACTAAATACTACTTAAGAAAACACATTCACTATGACTTTACTCCACCATTCTCCTTTAGGTTTTTCTGTTCTGCTCTATTAGATGGCTTGTTTCCTTAAATTATTCCAAATAGATATAATGAGATCTCTCCACTGGTTATCTCAAAAGTAGGGTAATGATCGACTGGATGAAGGCATAATCTAATAAAATTCAAATTTAATGATTCAAATTTGATGATACCTGTTTTCCAGATTTTTGTTCGTTTCAATTACAGGCATGGTGATCAATGAATGGGAAATGAATGACTACAAAGAGGATTCCCTGGTCTTTGGAAGGCATTAAAAAATTTCTACAACAGAACGCTAGTGATGGTTGCACAATTATATGAATCTACTAACACCAAGGAGTGGTAGATCTGTTAATTGGTAATTATTCTTTTAAGTAATTTCAAAGGAAATTTCAAATTTCTGCTCCAAAATGTAAATAACGGAATAGTCACTTGTAAAGACAAGAAAATAGTACAACATACTAAACACCAATTCTCTTCTTAGATTAGCCCAAGAATTGAGGTCATAAGGAAAACAGCGTCCCTGAACATGAGAAATATATGCCACTACAAGAAATACCAGCTTACCAGGAAGAGAGAAGCTGCTGAATGCAGCAAATGGTAAGGACACTTCCATGGTAACTGTCCAACTGCTGGAGGCTGGAGGTGACCTGCCTTGACAGTTAAAAACATTTTTGTGTGTGGGCATTTTGCCTTGTAGTTGGAAAACCCATTGAGACACCCACAATGCAGTGCCTCAGTTTGAATCCAGCTTTCTGCCAACAAAGACCCTGGGAGTCAGCAGATGACGAATCACAGAGATCTATTACTGCCATGCAAGTGGGAGACCTGGATTTAGCTCCCAGCTTCCATTTCTGGCATAGTTGGAATCACCCAGTGGATCATAGTTCAGTGGAAGTGAACAGTTATTAGTCATTCTCTGTAAGTCTCTCAGCTTCTTAAATTGGGGTCAAGGTGGAGTTTTGGAAACAGTTGCAGAATTTTACCACAAGAAACATAAACAGGTTCTCTTTAAGAGTAGAAAAATCATCAGCGCCCAGCACCAGCACTACTCCTGTCACTTCTGCCCCTCTGGAGGTCCTGTGGCCTGCAAATCCCAGCATCAAATACAATACAGCAGCTCCAGCCCCACCCTCTGGCAGTGACTAGGGGTCTGCTTGCCCCATCTAATGGGCTTCACTGCTACTCCTGGGGCTCTGGCCCATCAGGCAATGGCTCAGGCCACATAACCAGGCTGTCCGAGCATCAGCTTGGCCTGCTCCCAGAACCAGTGATCTCTAGCATTTCTTGTATCACATTTGGGTGATGGGTGGTGAGCCATCACTGGGCCCATTCACAGAGCCAGCCAGGTGTGCTTCCAGAAAGAATGTCATTTCTGCATCTCTGTTCCCTTACTCTAGTGGTGGCTGAGGGACTCCATACCACGGGGCCAAGCAACTCCAATGGACCCCAGAAATACCCACACCCTTGATGCTACTGGAGTGAACCACAGCAAAAATAAGCTATAGGGAGAGGCCATTATGATTTTTAACTCGAAACAGAGACAAAACATGCTACAAAGTCAATACCTAAAGACAGACATTCAGGAAAAATCTTTCAATCCTTGAAAACCATCCCTTAAAAATGATACAAAAAACTGATCTACCAGATGTGTAACAATCAACATAGGGACAGAAGAGTGAAAATTAAACAATATGCTACAAAAAAGAATATAACAACACTATAATGGCTGACCACAAAGAAGGTGGTGCATAAAATGCCAGATAAAGAATTCAAAAGACGGGCTTCATGAGGATACTCAGAGAGACACAAGAGAATATGGACAGTTACCTGAATGTTATGCAAGTGATGAATGACATCAATGAATGAAAACTTCAACAGAGACAGAGACCTTGAACAAGAACT